TGCTGAAGACAAAGTAAGCCTCAAGTCCGATGCAGGATGTAGCTATTGCTATTCAAATAGATTCAAGAGGTCCTATCACTTGATTTTCTCCGAATAGATATTCTTAAAGTAGGGATAATATGTACATAGCTCTTAGCTAGATGTGTTTTCCTGATAAGACATCTGTCCAGAAAGAATCACTCTGTAAACTGAACTTGGGGTCTGTTCAAAGGACATCCTCTTTGTTTACAAATTTGGTGTTATCATTTAAATTCTTTTCACTGATTACACCTCCCTCTGATTTAAAATATATTGACTTAAAATATACTGCAGTCTTTTGTGATTTGTATTGCATTAGTATTTACTTCTACTTGAATTTAATGTAGTTTTGTGTTTTGTTTTCTGGTAAGCCTCTAGAAAGACATTTTTAGTTAACTTCACACTGACTCCTTCAGATTGGGAGGAGACCTAAATATCAACCAAGGAAGTAACCCTCATAGCCAGTAGATTTGAACTCAGGCCACTATTCATTCCACAAATCTGAGTGGTCTTTTAGTCTTTCCTGACTTCTGCCAGCTGTACATTATTTTTATGCCCTTGAATAAGATTTTGGTCTGAGTTTTATCTGCCACTAAGGCGGTTTAGTCTGTTCAGATGACCAACATTTCAAACTATTATATCTTTTTATTCATGGTTTTCCTATGAATAACTCCAGTACTTCCAAAAACTTTGTACATATTGTATGATGGGTGGGATCTATTTTTAAATCACTTATAAGTACTTGTATTGAAAATATTATGTGGACTGCAGATTTTATTCACACTGTAAATGATATGGATTTTTAACAAAGGCCTTCTCTCTATATACTACTTTCTGGCCTAGCCTGGAAGGACCAGCTGTTATTTGTGGAAGAAGATGGAGATTTTTGTCACTGGTCATTCTCTTGTTAATGGTGAGGGGATATTTCTTTGAGTTATTTGCTGCCTAGGCCTAGCCACCTTTAACAATTAATACTACCTTTCTGCAAATGATTTGAAAAGGAAGGAGGGAATTTTTAGAGGTTAACCAAAACCAAAATACAGTCTAGAGAGACATGGAGGAACATAACCACTGATGACCCTGTCATCACGTTTTTCTTACAGGAAATCCTTCTGCAGAGTCTTTGTCATATAATATTATGGGTTTTCTTGTTAGGTGTTCTTAAATGTGGTTTAAAAACTACTGATTTCATATTTGTCTACAGTGGAACCATTCATTTCTTTAGGATCTAGAAGAATTAGGCTCATTAAACACACCATAGTCGAATACATCCATACAAAGTACATGGACTTCTCCCTCTATCTAGCTACCAAAGATATTACAAAGATATTTGAAACACTGGCCTTTCAGTTGTTGATATTTTGAGGTGTGTGATGAGTAGATGGAAGAGCCTTACATCTTTCAGTGGTAGAACTGTCAAGAAGAGTTTATCTTTTTTGTCCCTCCCCCCCTTCCCCCCAAATGCAGACTATTTCAGAATCCATTACAGAGAAAATAAACAGTTGATTTTAAGTTAAGGATGAGCCTAGCAACCTTTTGCACTATATTGACGTCAAAAGTATCTCTTTGCCAAGCTCTAAAATGCATCTTCAAAAACTACTGAAAATATCCAAGAACTTTAGTGATGAGCTACAAATGGACTTTGGTATTGATAAATAAAAGTCAATATGTATAGTGAAAGGACAACTTACTGTGATAAATGGGCCCACCATCAGTAAAGATCAAATTATTGACTATCTAGGGCTAGGAAAAAACCTGTCTATAACTAACTTCTACAGGTGAGAAGAATTAGCCACAGCAGCAATTCAGGAAAAGCTCAAAGAGACATGCAAGGAGAATACATTAAAAATACATACAAAAGTAGGCAGCAACATCCTGTTAAAAAATACATTTGTGGCACTAGGTTAATGTATTTCTTTGGCTGGGCCCATGTTCACACCTTTTTCTTTTGCCTTGAATGAGCTCCCTTTGGGCTACCCATTTTCCCTCTCAAGATCTAATTCAAATTTCTCTTCCCACTATCCTATTGCATGGGGAATTATCTCTGTATTTCTAAAAACATGCCATTCTTGGAATATTCTCTCTAATGCTCCTACTGATTACTTTTCATTATACTTCAACTAGATCACAAGTTGTATGAGGGCACATTAAAAGTGCCTTCATTTTTTTTTTACTCTTCACATGGTCTAGCACAGAGCTCTCCCCATAATAAGCACTAGATCAATATTTGTTGATTTTATCGTTTGTGAAATGATTCATTAGAGGAGCCCTGGTCACACATCATGTCAGAGTTTAATGATGAAACATCACAGGAAACACCCAAAAGAACAATTGCAAAGATTAGCCTATCAAAAAAAAAAAAGTGGAATGGCAGTAATTAACCTCTCCAATGTCTGTTGTTCCCAAGTGACAGAATATAGGTATTTCTTTTACAGGATAGGTAATTGGATACTCTATAAACTACCCAGCAAAAATGGCAAATCTTGTACCATCTCAAATTTGGAAGCTAAATTTTAACTAAGCAAAATATCTGAAGAATAGTCCTCTCTACTCTCCTACCCTGACGCAAACCGCACCCTCCAACATTAGAGGTGGAGATAAAATTAGCTGCCAGACACCCACTCCTTCCTATGAGTTTAATGAAGATCATGCAGCTAAAACTATATCTAACTTGCTGACTTTCTTGAGAGGTTTGGGATGTCAGTTCATACTGGGAACCACTTTACTGCCACTAAAAATGGCTGCAGGCATTCACATTGTTGTTCTAATGCCATGTTCTCGTCCCCTTTGAAGCCCTTGTGTCTACAACAGAATCTTGTTGGAGGAATGAATAAATGAATGGGTGAAAGTTTTAAATTATGAAAGAACAATGTATGGAATGGCAAGTACAATGCATTTGCCCAAATAAACACAGGTGCTACCTCATTGGCTCTTAAGCTGGATGATTAATTCTCTATTATAAATACCAATGTAAATATTTCAGAAAATTAACAATGTAGGGATTACAAAAAATCATTAACACAAGCCAAGAAATCTTGACCAATGTAATAGTATTTCACAACTTTGATGCATTTAATTATTCCACTGAAACGTTTCACAAAAATCTACTGATTCAAGTATCTCTAAACTTAGGAAAAGTAAAGGCAGCTACACCAATAACTACTTAGGCCATATGTGTCATGCCTTTTCTTTCAAGTCACAGACTATCCCATACCACCATTTTGCAAAAAAGCGCCCTTTGTCTCAAGTGTGCCTAAATAAGAGACTGAATGGATCTATTATAGTTGAAGACAGTTCAAAGCACATATCCTCTTGGATCAGGACATCTAGCCTGGTACCTCTGCTTCATTCATTCATTCATTCATTCATTCCACAACTCCTTCAAGAATACCTTCTATGGCTCAGGGCATACAGAGGTGAATAAAATAGACATGGTACCTACTTTCATATATTTATCAGAAATTTCAAATACACCAAATGAAAAATTGGGTGTATTTATTTACAGTCAGAATTTCAAATTTTTTCTCTCATATTTTGTTCCAAAACAAAAGGTTTTAAAGATGCAGTGAATTCAAACTCTATGCTCACACTTCCACAGAGCAGAGTCTGAGAGCATCCGTGAAACTGTTTGAAGAGAATATTTGGACCAGAATTATGTTCCTAGTCTCCTTTCCAGCGTGTATATGTGCGCGTCAGGTTATGACCATCAGTGCTATGTGCACCCCATGAAAACCAGACAAGGTGTCCGGGAGGTGTGAGCTCTCCTAACGCTGGTTTGGACCTCAGGCCGCACTCCTTGTGTCACTTATTGAATGTGTGAAGTAACACAGTCCCCAGTGTCTGCATTTGCTCTCTCATCGCCTAACAGAGGTTTAGGAACAACGGCCCAGTCCACTTCCCTGTGCCAACACACATATCATTTCATGTATGACTTATAAATATATATTTTATTTATTGCATTTACAGCTTATAAATAATATGCGTGTTATCAAGACCTGAGGAGACAGTGGTGGTGTTTACCACAGCAATCTGTGATAGATAAAATTCCAGGGTAGTTAATGATACACATATTTATATTGTTTGGCTTTAGACAAGTGTCACATAATTTATATTATTGCAGGCTTGCTTTGTTTTGTTATTCACTGAGTTGTATCATGAAAACAATGTCCACTTTTCCTGACAAATAATTCCTTAAACAAATGTAATATGGAAATATGTTACTTATGATGATAACGTAGACCAAGTATTACAACTTGGGGAAAAATGTGGAAAGTTGAGTCTATGTTTCTCTAAGGGAGTGGTTGTAACGAGTTTATAGGAGATTTTAGATTCCCGTGCTAGCTTCTGTTTCTGTTCATAATTCCTACTTAGAAAATAATATCTCATGACAAGTTGTCTGGGGCCCTACCATTGAAAACACCAGCCCTCATTATTATCATTTGCAATGTATTCATTCTATATATTAGAATTTATTTTTATAGGGCCTTTTTATTGGCATTTGGGGCCATAGTTTATAATTTGATGAGAGAGAACCAAAACGCATAAAAAGTGTTCATCAGCTATGATTTGTCTGACAAAAGGAACGATTGCACCAGCGTAGTGCTGGTCTTTCTAATTGACTAGTCTGATGTTCTCTCTGTGTCCTGTTGCTGTTAATTGACTATATTGTTTTAGATTTATGCATTAAAAATACGATTTCTGCTTCGAAGTGATCACTTTGTTACTTTGTAGCTTTTAAGCTGATGCCATGAACTTATTTTTCTTCTAAGATAAAGTCTCATCTATAGATTTTTCAACTAATTACATGTCTGCCAATACATACTTAGAGGATACATTTTATTTCAATTTATTGTTTGTGTTTACATTGAGTGTCCCTGGAAATAGCTGTGGAACTGAAAGAAAATGTTTTAATGGTATTTATTACTACTTTTTCATCATTCTCTTCTTCTATCTCTCTCTTTCTCTCTCTCTCTTTTTAATAGCCTCAGCCAGTCTGGTCAAGCATGACAGCAACTCAAACTCGGCAAACTTCCAAGACAACGAGGACATGCCTGACAGATGTGTCGTGGAAGAGTCTGAGAGTCCAGGTGAAAGCCATTTAAAAATAGTCAAGTATAAAATGATAAATTTGACACAGCTTTGGGGTCCTTGGAAGGGGGTGGAGGGAGAGGACATTGTAATGTTCTTTTCTCTTAGCAGCTGCACTGTCAAATTAATGGTCACCTCCAGGGGTCACAGTGTGGAGCTGTTATCTTTTCCTCTTTCATCAAGAATTCAGTTGGAGGAAGTACAAAGGCTTTATGACTGAAAAGGGAAGCTGACACTATTAGTTCATTATCATCAATTTTAGGCTAAACTGGTTAATAGAGGCAGAGATTGGAAACTGGAGCAATATTTTAAATATTTCAATTAATGGGAGCAAGCAGAAGTGGAGAGCTGGAGAGAAGAGACACAAATTGTCATCATTACAATCTAAATACCTTTCTAAATATAAATAGGACTCTAACTGGGATGAGAGGATTTTATCATAACAGTAATGGACTAATAGATGTTGTCAACTGTTTAGAAAAAAATGAAAGAAAGGAAAATAATAACCTTTCCTCACGCAATAGAATTGACCCACCATTCAAGTTACTGATGTTTGCATTTTCTTTGTAGAAAGAATAGACAGGAATATACTGGAAGTATATGGCCAGGAACACTTAAGCATGGATTTTTGTTTCTGTTTTTGTTGTGTTTTGAAGTATGCCTGGTTTTAACAACTGATTAATTGCAAGGAAAAAAATCTTGTGAAAGTTGAATGACATTCCGGGATCACTATAAAGCCAGAAGGTGCTAAAAGTTACCTTATTATCCTGAATGAAAGAGTTAACTGTCTCCCCCACTGAACGTTTTTCTTTCTTATTTTCACTGGCTGCTGTGTACCCTCTACCCTCTTGCATCGTTGTGTGCTGATCCATGTATCAGATTTTTGATTCATCCTCTCTGTGGCCTGTCAGCTTAGTTAAGAGATTTCCAAATCTTGTAGCCTTCGCTGACAGGGGGCAGCTGCAAACAGTCCCCTGATCCTTCCCCCGAGGAGAGCTACTGAGATTTAATTTTCAGTGAAAGGTGCAGCCTGCAATCTATGTCAGGTCCCCTAAGTCATCTCGGAACCCCAATAGGCCCAGTGGCGATGGCATTGCATTTCAGTCCCCTCCACTACACCAAGATTCCTCAAAAGATGGACTGCTGCTGTGTGTCTGCTCTCAACCACACTTCTGCTTTCCCGTGGAACTGAGAAATGGCATCTTTAGCAATGACAGAAATTTTTAATCAGCACATTAACCCCACCCCTGCCATACTGTCTAAAAGATAAATGTAGATCAGCCCCACTGTAAAAGGGACAGGGTCGCAGTACATTTTAAAAAAATTATTTTAAAATTACTTTTCATTTTGACTCAAATTGCCTAATTTTGACTAGGTTTTTAAAACTGTCTTAAACAGTTTTCTATCAACCATTTCATCAGGCTGTTAAATCCTTGAGTCAAGCTTTTATCTAAGTGTTTCTTGTTTTGGTGAGAATAGATCAGCTTTATACTATTTCAAAACGAGAATAAATTTCCGTCATCCCTCAATATGAGTGGAATTGTAGAGAGATTCAAATATAACACAGTCTACCTAATTGATATAAACAAAAGGGTATATCAAAACAGGAAGATGAATTTGAAAATATAGGTGCTGATAAAGAATCCTAACTTAAAAAAGTGAGTATGATTCTATGCATCGGACATCATTAAACTGATAATAAAGAATGAATTACTCTGGCTTTTTCCTCTGTCCATTCCTGCATTTTAAGACATCTTGCCTTATAGGGCCTAGAAACCTCTGGAGAGTTCACTGCTGGTCTCACTGCCTTCCACTGAGAATTTGTGGCTTGGTTGTCATGGAGACATCGTATTTCTCCAAGAATTGCTCATATTGATCCGTGGCCAGGCGTAAATGGCCAAGTGAGTGTGAGGAAGAAAGGGGGCTGGGCAGTCCTATAAAATGACCAGGGCTTGTGGGTTGGAAATAAGCTCATAGCAAACACTTAGGTAAAAAGAAAGAAGCAGTTTTATTTTGTTTCAGGGTTTCTTTCTGCACTTTGGGCCATTGTCTTCTTTCACTATGAACTGAAAGAAACTTGTTAGTCACTTGTCATGTCAGATCTTTGGTGCTTGTCCTGACACAGCTGTCAGCCTTCCAGCTCTGTGCAGTTCAGGGACACACAACAAAGAGGCAATGACATGAATTATTTATTGCTTCTTGTGTGGATAAAATTCTGTGATAAGAAATTAAGACACTTCTGACAGAGGCGCTTGTTTAGGAAGAAAGATTTTTGATGAGAGAGTGCATTTTTTGAAGTGTGAGCATCTGAGAGGCAAAATTCTTAAAACTGAACCTGAAGGGAGATATGTGAAATTGGTGGCACAGAGGGACTTTCCTGAACTGTTAAAATATGACTATCTACTATTCAATGTCCAAAAATTAACTTAAATATATCAAGTCATTCAAATGTAGGGGCTCCAAAACTACAAACATGACTTAGGGAGTTTAGTTACCTCCAGTTACCATGTAAGAGTGGTGTTTCTCTGGAAAGTGAGTATGTTTAACTACCTTTGTTAGAAGAAAAAACAAAATTTGGGGTTTTTAAGTGATAAACTTTGGGAAGATGTCTTCAAACCAATAGAGGTACCTCAGTAGCTAACTTACGATTGCATTAATGTATTCGTTATTTCTTGTATAGAAGGGAGTGCGTTTAAATCATGAATGCATCATTCTCACCATTTTCACCTGGAATATTATCATTCATTTAAAATTCCTTTTAACATTTTCATGTACGTGCAAAATCCCCCATTTACAAAGTTGAATGTGGTCAGTCTTCTAGCTTTAATGGATATTGACCTTAACATGGTTTTATCTATGCAATTCTAAATGACTAATATATTTATTACATCGTTTTTAATGAATAGACCCGTTGTTCAAACAGCAATATAGAAAATGAAAACAAAAAATCATTTTCCCATTCGAACACAGTTGGAGACTATTGTCTTACATATTGCTGTTTTCAAATAGCCTTTTCTTTGTAAATCCTCTAAACGTCATTTTACTTTAGCTCTTAGAGCTTCATCTACCTGATTCCAACTTATTTGCATATGTTGAGAGCAAGGGGGAATTGAAGCACAGAAAAACTAAAATCGCTTTTTTAAATGAAGTGTTTCTTTTTAAACACTGATATAACATTTTGAAATGTTATTGATAAAATCAAATTTTAGAAATGATATAAAACAGTGAGATTGACTTCACAAAGTGATTATAGTTGAATACAATGGGTTTTGAACTCGGTCTATGGAGCGCTTAGTTTTCCATTGACATTGCTGCTCTCTAGCCCAGAGCTGACGGGCTGACCCATTTGTAAATGGGCTGGAGTGTGCATATAGGTCACGATTTAGAGGCCTGGTGCAGTGATTGTTCCCCTGGTCTCTAGAGCACTCGACCTTATTCATCGTGCCATTGTGATCTCTTTATTGGCTCAAGTTGTATATACCCAGGTGAGTGCCTGCAGTAGTCCATTAAGGTTGGCGAAGCAACTTCAGACCAGAGCATCCGGCTTACTCTGACCCTGCTGGTGAACCTGGAGTTCTTATCTGATAGGTCAAGGTCTCCCTTAGCTGTGTCTTGTCTTTGGAATAATTCATTAGCAAAGCGTTTTGCCTCACAGGTGAATCCCAGATTGAAGTTTCTGGCTTAGACTCTCTGAAGTCTACTTGCTTCTTCACTGACATTTATACATTTCTGAAACCTGTGGGAATAACTTTGATGTCCTAGTAATAGAATCATGGAGACAACATTGTGAACTTGCAGCTCCCGTTTTTGAGATTGTAGGGCCATTAGGCTTTCTTTCTTTGTCTCTTTAAGGCCTGGGTCACTTCTGAATCTGAAAGATGCTATCACAAAAATAGTTCAGCTTAGTCTTTTGCTGGCTAACTTCTTATTAACTATTTCATGCAGTGATTAAAGCTCCATTCATTCTCCAGGATATAATAAAACGTGTTTCTTGCCCCTCATCTTTGCACTCATGATGATAAAAAATTGAGTGTGACATTCACAATTTTTACCCACATATTAATGAGAGACCTTGAGCTTTTATCACCTTATTGGCTTGGAAAATTAAGAATTTTACTTCCTAGTGCACTAGGGCCAGCACACTTAAATATAGCTTCAGCTGAAAATAGTACCGACAAGAGAGAGCTTGAAAGTACAAAAAAATGGCATTCAGGTAAGCATTTTCACGTCATTCTGAAGTCGTTTATAATCAGTATGCATTCTGCCCTTAATAGAACAGTTTAGTGGTTTTCATATAGCACCTTATGTGTGTAGATCTATATACATCATTGTCAATCAATATTGCATTTGCATGAATCTGATGAGCAAAACTAGATTTCTCACAGTTTCCAGGGGGATACTACATTGTGAAAAGCCACAGTGGTTTGTTTGTTTTTTTTATTTATTTTTTTTATTATTGTGGCTCATGAATCACCAGCAAAAATCAGGTAACAGAAAGTAGGACAGATTCAGGATGGGAGTGTTGGAGATGGCTGATGATGATGCATGAACCAGAAAAAATGTGGACTGTGTGAGCCGCCCATCAATCACAGCCATCGGGAACACACTTCTTATGGGTAGTGCTAAAAAATGCTCTAGAAGTAAGGACAATTTCCGTGGTAAAAACATATAAGCTCTTACTTCTAGTTGTGTAACTCTATCAGTGTTTTTAAAAATTTACTCAGAGGGGAAAAAATTGAAGCATCAACCTCATAACTTTTAAAATATGTAAAGTTCTAGGCGAATAATAGATTATTATATGTATTGTATATATTATACGATATTGAATATTGGTTTAACTAAATCAAATAATCAGCTTTTTGAGTCTTTGTCAGCGAGAGTGGGAGTTATAATGCATGGTCACATCATTAATATAAATGTGTATAGAAGTAATTAAGTAAGGCACAATGCTCTAACTAGTTTGATAGTCGAATTAATTTAAAGCAAGTGATATATTTTAGCCTACAATAACAATCATCCAAATAGTCTGAGAAATAAATGCTTTTTTTGATTCTCTAACTCAAACCATATTTCAACTAACATTTAAACATTTGACTCTAAAGTTGCAGCTGTAGGTTCTCTAAAAATAATTCAGCTCCTTGAAATTTATAACAATTTACTAATTTCAAACCCAGTTCATCTTGTTAAAAACTCTCATCTTTCTTGGCAAGGAAAAATAACCCATATTAATAATGTGTGCAATTAAAATATATTTACCTGGACCTGATTTAAAAGACAGTATTTTTATTAACATTTTATTTCATGATAGAAAAGAAATGTAGAAATTAACAGGTAACTCACTCCTTTCTTTCTTCCTTCTTTCCTTCCTTCCTCCCTCCCTCTTTTCCTTCATCCCTTCCTTACTTCCTTCTTGCCTTTCATCCTTTCCTCTCTTCCTCCTTTCCTCTCTCCCTTCCTTCCTCCTTCCCTTCTTTCTTGCTTCTCTTTATTTCACCATATAACCCAAGACAATCTGTTTTCTTTCTAGGTGAGCCAGGACATCATTCATGGATAGCAAAGATGTGCTTCTGCAAGCTGTGCTAAACTAAATCTCATCTCTAGGAATTGGATTGGACAAATGAAGAAACCCAAAACATGTCATTTGTTTACCATTGTATATGAGGTATACTGCTATTGATCAAGAAATTAGGTTGCAGTAGAATTTCCTAACACTTTAGCCAGAGCAAATAAAAGTGTAATTACTGATTGAAAATATTAACTTTCCTAATTTTAGAAAATCATTGTCTAAATCATCCTATATTACTGTTCCTTACTTTTCTTTTAATATTTGCAACAAGGAATGCCAGCCCATAGACACGAATTTAACACCATTTTAGATTTTGTCCATCTTTTCAGTTCCTGAATTATATACTATGCAATATGAAAACCACATTGCTTTTAAACAATATAACACACAATGCTTTTAATTTTAATGTTGTTTCAATGTATTTAATCTAAAATTTTACCAAATTTGTTTCATTTGTTAGGTTAGGACATTTTGTTTCAGTAGATGCTTTACTTCAGATCAATCACCCTGCAGTAAATCTCATCCCTAAGGATAAAATGTTGTCAACAAATAGCCAGTTCCATTTAGTCATCAATTAGCCCAAATAAGTGATACACAATATAACTGGGACCAATCTTGTGCAGTCAAGTTAATTCAGACTTCTAATGACATAGAAGCTAATGCCTTTAGCTAAAGGATGATCTTGTTGGCCATATAAATGTGAACTAGGGAAGGGGACTCTAATTATAGTACATCACAATTGATCCTTATGAAATATAAACTCTCATTGTTCTTTTCCCAGAAAGAAGCTTGATTAGCAGGAATTCTTAAACTAAAATATGCAAAGTAATATAAATAGGAACAGACATAAAGTGCTCATCTATTAATACCCATAGTGATCTGATTTATTTGCTGTGATTTATATTGTATAATTCCTGGATTTACAGAAAATTATCAAAGATTATTAGTGTGTATATGAATACAAATATTGCCTAATCCATAGAAAAAATGGAATTAAAGTGTTAAATATATAATACCTATATCTACCTATCTATCTACCTATCATCTGTCATCTATCTATCTTATCTATCTATCTATCTATCTAATAGGAAAGTTCCCATCACTTTAATTCAACATACATTTTTGGGTCTTGTGCTGGGATGCAGTGGGCAAGGGAGAAAGGGAGATTAGAGAAGAGAACTATATAATTGACATAGCATGGTCTCTACCCTTAAGGAGCTTATAAATAATGATTGATGTAAATGAATATACCTGAAAATAAACATCAAATGATTGTGACTCCTTTAAAGTAGATAAAAATGTCTGTTCTTCTTTCCCCCTTAGATATGATATCATTGCTTAAAATTACTTTTGAGTTGTACTTCACAAACAGATAATATGAATAATCATGGAAAATTGTCATGCTTTTAAAATGGATATATATGCTTTGGAATGTCAAAAGCTACTTGGAACAAGTTTCAAAATAATAGATAATGGAATACAATTTCTTGTATGCTGTGGCCCTGAAGGCCAGTACAAGGACTCCCCAAAACATCTTTAATGATGGCAATATCAGATAAGTATATGTCCTCTCAAAGGGGCAATTTTAATAGTGAAAACTTAGTAGGATGTTCAAGTTTTAGAGTTTCTTAAATATAAGCTTTGTTTACATAGCTGTGTCCTATTATTCCCTTTTCAAAGTATAGTAAAAATATGTTTAAGCCACTACCAAATTTATCATTTTCTTTAGGTCTAAGGAAACCAATATTGAATCTTTGATAAATATTTTATGATATCACTACCTATAGGACATTAGAACTGGCATAACAAATGCATTACTAAATGAGATTTTTAAGATTTTTCTGCTAAAATTTAATAATTCATATTGCATGACTAATTAAAATATTTTATCAATATGAATTCTGGAGGTGTTGACCATTAACTATCAAAACTTTTAATTCCTAAAAATGAGTTTTAGAGATAAGACATTGAAAGGATATTCCCTAAAACACATGTGCAGGTATCTTTATGACACAAATCTCCTAGTCTGTTTAAAAATGATTTTACTGACTTATGTTCAACATGTTTCTGCAATTTCTGTTGTAAGGAGAACCTGAGATAGTGAGTTGCCACACAGTTAATTGGATCGACCACGTGGTGACCCTAACCACTTGGTATCACAGCTTGAAACTCAAAACTCACTGCCTGTTGATTGGGTGTTTGGCCTTCAGTAACAAGTGAAGGAATTGTATTCGTGAACGAATGCGTTTGTATCCAGCCTTCCTTGTCATTCTAATAAATAATTCATTAAAAATGTATCTCGTGTTTCTTTTTTTGGCAATAATCTTAGTTATATTTATGATTATATATTTCCCTCCAAGGAATATCATATTTTCAAATTTGCAAGCGAGGATTCTGTTATTCATTGTGGAGTTACACACGAGCTGTAGTGCCAAGGAAAGAATCTGGAAAGAATGTAGGTTTAAGGGCCGAGGCCTCACTGCCATGTGTTCAGGCAGCGTGTCCTCGCTGTGGTTCTCAGAGCCTCACTTCCTTGTCCCTCTAGAGAGCCCCCTCACAATCTTCGTGCAAAAACACTCCAGGAGATAGCTTACAGAAAGCAACGTGAACACTGTAAAGCACTTCAAATATATGGTACGATTTATAGTATTATAAACACACAACTAGAGACATGGCCTCAGGCCTAAAACATTCTGTTACTATTTTAGAATGTAAGTTAAAGTTACTTTGAATATGTCACAATTAGAAAAATGATAGGAAACACTTTGCTAAATATTAACATTCTATCTCGAGATGGTAATATTTTGGAGGTAATTTTATTTCCTTTCTTATACATTTTCCTCCAACATTCTGTATTAAAAACATTTTATCATTATTCAAGTGAACTTTTAGAAAAGATAGTGTTTCTTCCCTTCAATCTTTAGAGGGCACATTATAATAATTGAATTTTTGAAAATCAAGTTTTATGCCATGTGTTTAAAATGAAGGCTCAGAATACATTAATCCAATTGATTTTAAAGTCTTATTTTCACAGAATGAACTAATTCATAGAATTTTAAAATTTTTGTATTGCATACATTTTGATTATGCAGTTATTTTAAAATAGCGCTATATGCCCTTTTGATCCTCCTCCGCAAATGTTGTTTTACATGTAAAGTGCCCAAAGGTTAAAATACGTTCAAAATTCACTGTGACAAGAAAAGTCGCAAAGTTAAATCCTTCCTGAATAGATCTCTCTCTGATGAAGTTACATGGCTTCACGTACAGCGGGGGTTCCCAGACCACGTTGCCGTGATCCCATCAACAAGGACACTACAGATGGCATGGAGGAGAAAAATGTAAACCAGAAATGAACCAAGTTTCCCAGTAAGATCGTGCCACTGAAAACTCCCATCCAACCTGTGACTCCTGGAAGACGGCATGCGTCCTTTTATCTCACTGGCAGGGCAGGGACTGGGGGAAGGCCTGCCCTGACACAAACCCCTCATTCCTCTCGCCCTCATTCCAAACTGCTCAGACCCTATCTTTATTTAAAGTTTCGAAATCATAGATTTTTTGCATTAATCTGATTTTCATATATATTGTATTCAAATATATCTGTCTTGATTACTGAGTTTTTTGCCACCCCTAGTCTTAGTCCCTATTTATTAGGTCTGGGATAAAGTCACCTTTTTCCAGAAAGCATGCTGCAGGTAAATAGATTGTGACAATTGCATCATTAGGAGCATGATTATAGTGATACAAATGGTACGAAATAGTTGTTTTAATGCCCTGTGAAAGCGAAAGCCATTGACCATTGAAAATGTTTGAAATGGCTTACTCCTGGTGTACTGGGGAAAATGTTGAGCATACACGCTTCTTTCTTTTGACAGTGCTTCCCCAAATACATTCTTTTCATTGCACAGTACATGTTTTCCCATCACCAATTTTAGGGATCCTTTCTGTCTTCAGCACACTGCTTAACTGGAAAGACAGCAGTGATTTTTTTTGTATTCAAGAATACAAGGTTTTTAATAATTAGTACATGTTCAGTACAACATTGTGCCTAATTCTGCAAAGTTTCAAATGCCTGCAAAACGCCAATATTCATAATATTATGCAATTGCAGTAATTGGTTGATACATGCTTACAAAACCTATCATTTATTCAGTTAATTATTTTCATTGCTATTATCTATAATGTCATCAATTGGCTTTTCGATCTCGAATGTGCGTTTTCAAGGGAGAAAGTGTTCTCACACAGGCTCAGTCACTGAGCATCGTGGCCTCAGATGATGTCACCTCAGATAAAAGAACAGTCTATGATATGTTCTTGACATATCACAAGTCTCCTTTAGACTTTTTAAGAGATTTCCTGTTATTTCTGCCGTGGCAACTACATTTCCTATCAGAATTAACCTCTCTTATCTATATCAAAAATATTCTTACATTTACGTTATCTCTGTTTGCATCAATTTATAGTTATAGTGAACTGAGGAAACATGCTTTAATTGTTCCTTTTGGATTTTAGAGCCTGCCAGGGGAAAAAAAAGGAAGAAAAGAACAACAAAACCCTCTAGCACAGTGACATTAAGAGCCTTCATCCTCTCCCTGAGATATTCGTAGCCACAGGGATTAAGTGGCACTTGGGATTTTTTATGATAAGGAACATTTCCTTGCATCACCCTCTATGTCAAATAAGTAGTGTATTCCCACCAATCTAAGCAAAACCATTCAGTCCAGTTTCTGCAAGAATTTGAGATAGGAAGGGAGGTAAAATTAACACATGCTACTAGCATTTCAATTGTCATTGGGATAGTCAAATAAACAAATTTGGGCATTTCTAAAGTATGTGTTCATGGAAAGCCTCCTGCAGCTAGCTAATGCCTGTCCAGAAAGGTGTTGGGTTTTGTTTGTAGTCTTCCTGCCATGTAGGTGGCAGCAACACTCAAGGCTAGAAATTTTCTTCCCAGTTCCCTTAGCTCTAGTCCAAAGCATATTCTTACTAAAAGTCTTTGTGGAAGAGAAAAGGTTTAAAGTGTAGAGACAAATTTCTCCATGTCCTCACATATCTCTAAAGCACTATTTTAAGGTTGTGCTAAAGCGGTTCCCATAATGTGAACACATTCATCATTTCCCTTAATACAGAAGTCATATTCTGCTCCCGTACA